CCCCCGCCCGCCGCAGGGACCTCGTGTCGCCAGACAGGGTGGGGGCTTCTTTTATACTTGATTTTTGCTTTTATGGAGCCCAGCCCCACCTCCCCGGTGTAAGGTGTGCTGGGTCCCGGCTCCCTGCTTTGGTCCCAAGCCCGGCTCTGGCGCTGGGTCTCCTGCAAAGCTGCCACAGTCGCCCCCTGCCACAAAAGGGGTTCCCTGGCCACGGCTCAGGCCCCTCCAGGAGAGACAGTCTCTTCACCAGCCTCCCATTTCTTCGCTTTGTTTGGGTAGCACCCGGGAGCCGGGAAGGAGAAGTCATCCCATGGCCCTGGATCCCAGCGACGTGATCGGCCCCTGTGGCTGGGGCGGGGGCAGGCTTGAGCTCACGCTTGCTTTGTGGCGCCGCGGTCCGGTCCCGGAACAAGCTGGCTGAGCTGGCTGCTTTGCCGGAGAGAGAGGCGGGGGCGCCTGTCTGAAATATTTAGATGCGTTTGCATCTTGAAGTAGGGGTTTTGCTTCTTGGCTTCATGATTTGGGGAGGGACACCCTTGTTGGATTGCCCCTGACTGGGAGCTGCCCTTGTCTGTGTAGCACAGTGTTGGGATGCGCTGCCATCCCCCCCGGTGCGGAGTGGCACCGCTGGTGACTGCGGCGGCAGGGGCTCTTTGGGACGGGTCCTGTGCCTTGTCCCTGCTGCTCCTGGCATGCTGGGCTGGGGCATACAGAGCCTCATGCCCCCCGCCCCCCAGGGGCACCCTCTGCCAGTAATTCAGGGAAGACCCGTCCTGGGGGTGGCCTAGTGGCACCCATCCATGACTTCTTGCTGGGGAACCAGCCTTGGAGAGAGGAATAAAATTGGTTCCTTTGTTCCTTAACCCTTTGTATCTCAGTTGTAGCCCCCAGAAAGATGTGGGGGCTTCTATTTTTAGCTTTGTCAGGGGAAATTATTCTATTTTTAGCTTCCCTAAAGGAGATGACTCCACAGTGCTGCATGCTGAGGCTGTGGGGTCTGGGCTTCGGAGGGAGCTGAGTACCAGGATCCAGCCACTCCCTTGAGGTCATGGTGACTGCAGCCCCTTCATCTCTCACTGTTCATGCCTCCCCCTTGTCTTCTGGCAGATACCAGTCACAATGGAGTCTTCCTGCAGCATGTCGTCCTGTGAGTCTCTGTACTCGGTGGAGAGCGGTCCTGGCGAGGAGGAGGATGAAGGCTCAGACGTGGGTGTCTTCCTGTCTGGCAGCGAGAGCGAGGCAGAGAAGGAGCAGGATGGCTCCTTGAGCCCTAGAGCCACCCCAGATGAGAGGGGCCTGTTCTCAACCAAGGCCCCATGGACTAGTCCCAGCAGGCTGTGCCCGGACCGCCAGCACTGGATGCTGGGCTCTGCCGGGCAGCGTCACTGGTACCCCCCTGCCCGTGCATGCCTGACGGACAGGGTAAACGGCCTGCCCGGCAGGCGTCTAAGCCAGCAGAGGTTGGAGAGTGGCCGCAAGCGCTTGATGCGTTCAGAGGGGCTGAGGGGGAGCCCTGAATACACTGCCACGATGCCAGCCCATGGGATGAAGAGGCAGAGGAGCAGGGAGGCGGAGGCCAGGCAGGAGCCAGGGGCAGCCTGCACTGAAGGGGACCGTCTGTTTGCACAGAAGGTGAGTGCTATGAGGACGTGCAGGGGCATAGAGCTCCTTTGATTGGCATGCAGAGTCTGATGCTAGCTGGGGTCCTGCCAGGCTGTGTCCCCTCTCCCACCAAATGAAGAGGCTGACCCTGGGGTCATGTGAGCCTGCGAGGCCCAGTCTGCAGCTTTATTCTGAGCATCATGGTGGTTGTGCCTCAGTTTCCCATGTGCTGTTCAGCCACGGGAGGAGGGCAGAAGCCAGGGGGCATTTGATCCACCCAGTGGGATGGGAGGGAATGCCCCAGACAGGTTGCAGGGGTGTCAGCCCATGGGTTAAGGGACAAGGCACAGCAAGGGGAGTGGATCTCAGGTGACCTGGGAGAGTGGAAGAATGGGGGGGCTGTTAGGGTTGTGGGGGGGGCTCTGCCACCAGTTTCCTTTCCCTGGGAAGGTCCTGGGGAACCTCTCCAGACAGGCTTTGCTGACTCCCCACTCTGTCCCCACAGTGCCTGGAGCTCCAGGGCTTCATCCGGCCTCTCATGGAGCTTTTGAATGGGCTGAAGATGGGCCGCTATGAGAAAGGTGAGTGTGGCTCACACGTGTGCATTCCCTATTCCCTCTCTCTGTTTCCTCATAATTTGGTCCTTCCAGGCCCGCATAGGGACCATGCGAGCAGGCTTAATCCTGCCCTCCCTTCCCTCCCTTGCTGGCCAGTGCCTGCCCCCATCAAGGGCAGAATCTTGCCCCTTTCATAGGGCACATCCAGGCCTTTATGCCTGGGGTCAATGGCTCAGCTCAGTTATGCCCCAGTTAAAACCCCTCGGACTTCAGTACATCAACCCCTGGCTTGCAGCGACATGGGCAGCTCTGCTGTCTCTGGTATCCAAGCTGATTTGCTGTCTCCCAGCACCCCCTCAGCCGGCTTTGTGGGGCTGGAATTTCATCATCTCCGGGCTGGAGCTCAACAGAGCATTGGTGTGAAATATTCATGGGCTCCAGGCGCTGGCGGGGGAGGGCCTGGCCTGCCATGGGCAGGGATCTTATGAGCCAGCTGCTCTCTTAGCTATAGTCTGGAGCCCTGCTTCTCAGTGCTGAACAGAGCTTTGATCCCAGGGGCTTTGATGCAACCAAGTCTCCCCTTCCAAGCAGCAGCTATAAAAGCACAGACATGACTTTTCTTACCCTTTGCCCTAACCTTTGCCCCAGTTCAGTGCCCCTAGGGTGCCCTATGATTCTGGAGCTCCTTGTTCATTGCCTTGATGCAAAGCAGATGGAGTTTGCAGGGAGCTGGCAAGGCCCTGGCATCCTGCCCTGGTAGCACCGGTTGTAACCAGCCTCCATGCCCACGTGGGCAGCCACCTTTCCCTTTCACTCCTGCCGTGCCCCAGGCACGTGTACCTATGTGTGCTTGCACTGGCACTAAGCACATGTGTGGAGCTGCCTGCGCCTGGCTCTGCCTACTCCTGGGATCTCCTAGGTGCTTGCAGCTAGCTTGGAGTGGTGCCCACCCACTGGGGTGTTCACAGAGCCCCAGACACCTGCCTGCTCCATAAGGGGCTGACTCAGCACGGTAGGGCTGAGTTTGCTCTCACTGACTGCAGCTGCATCAGCAAGGGGAGCTGATCCTGCTCTGTGGCTGGAACATCCCCTGCCTGGGAGACCAAGCTGCTGGATTCCCCACCCCAGCTGCATCTCAGGGCCTTCACAGCCCCCGCCTTGTGCCGGCTGCATATAATTGCTGCAATCAGCTCCCCAGGGAAGCCAGAGTCTGAGAGCAGCCTAGAAGCTGATTCAGCCTTCTGCGTGGGCTTCCAGGCCTGGTTAATTACCCTGTGTCAGAGCAGTCAAGGCTCACAGCCTGCGCCTCCCTTTGATCTCCCCAGGTTTAAGCAGTTTCCAACAGAGTGTGGCCATGGACAGGATCCAGCGGATCATTGGGGTGCTGCAGAAGCCGGAGATGGGGTGAGTAGGACTTGAGTTAATAGCTCTCGTGAGCTGCAGGGGATCTGTGCAGCCCATCATGGGAAGGAGGCCTAGCATCAAGCCAAGCCTGGGGAGGTCTCATCCTGGCTTCCAGCCTCCACAGGCTGCTCAGGGCGGTGCTGGTGCTCCCCGCACCTTGCAGCTGGACTGATGGGCCCCAGAGCACAGACATGCCAGAATGACAAGCATTTGGCCCCACCACCATCAGCCTGTCCTTTGTCACCATGCCCTGAGAGACTCCATGGTGCGGTTTTGCACTGAGTCCTGCCCTCAGCTGAAACCACAGACACCCTCCTACCATCTCCCCCTGCCTTTTGGTCCCATTGCAGAAGGAGCCTCCCTGGGTCCTGGGATGGAGCAGGCATCTGTTTGCAGGGAGGGACTGTGTTTCTGGTGCTCTGCAAGTAGAGCTTGCACCATTGCAGCCCTTGGCCCGTTTTGGAGGCTTCTCAGCTGCTTCTGGACCCCTTGCCAGGCTTACCCAGGCCCCCCAACATGAGTATCAGTCTGACCCCCCTCCCCTGACCCCCAAGGGCACGATGCCCCTGTGGTGTACCCACCCAGGCTATCTCACTGGGGTGGGGGTAAAGCAGACACCTCCTGACCTCTGAGTCACCAGGGCTCTGCTCTCACTCTGCAGGGAGCGATATCTGGGCACCCTGCTGCAGGTGGAGATGATGCTCAAGGTTTGGTTCCCTCGTGTCGCCTTGAAGAGCTCCTGCCCTGAGCACGGCACCCAGGAGGAGACCTGCAAGCCAGCCAAGGTGAGAGGCCACAGCCTTGTTGCTCACTTCAGAGTCCATGTCTGATTGGCAACATCCCTCAGCCTGTGTGGGCTGAGGGGAGTCCAGGGGGCCTGTTGGAGGGCTGGGGTAGCATTGAGCTGCTGGGCGAGGTGGGGACATCAAGGAAAGAAGGGATATGGGAGAGGAGATGGCCAAGTCGAGGGACCATGACAGGGAAGGTGCAGCCTCAGCAAGGAGGTAATGTGCCTCTGTCCCCTTCAGCCCCAGTCCAGGCCCCCTGTGGCAGGCAGCCACCCAGGCAAGTGGGCAGCTCGCAGCAGCAACCCCGTCCAGAGTCCTGCTGTAGAAACAGCCCAGCGACCAGACCCTGCGGCAGCATGGAAGGAGCAGGCCCGGCTCCTGGCGGACTGGTCCGCCATGAACTTGACATGGATGCACACCTCTCCCATCTGCAACCCACCCCTGGGCCCCTGGAACAGTGCCATGGGGCAGGCTGTGCTCGGCCTCAACGCCAGCGCCTACAGTGTCATCCTCTTCCTCCACAACAACCTGCTGGCCCCCAGCTCCCTCCTCCGCTCTGCACCTGCCACCCCAGACAAGACGTCACCAGCCTGCTGCCACCCCAAGCAGCCTCCAGGGACCACGGAGCCCCCACGATGCCAGAGCCTGCCTGGGGCCATGGCAGCCAGAAGCAACGACCTGTTGGGGCCGCGCTCGAGCACCTACTCCAAATCTCTGCCTCACTTGCCCAAGTCCAGTAAAGAGTCCAAGAAAGCAACTGGTTGGACTGGGAGCTCAGATCTGGGACTGTTGGCTGCAGGGATACCGGCGGGCAACTGTTGATGCCCTGTTCCACACAGTTCCCCAGATCTGTGAATTCTTCTTTTTTTTTTTTTTTTTGTAATTATTATTAATATTATTATTTCTGCCTGGTTTTTTTTTTAAGTGAGATATTTCACGCGTGTGTACTGTCCTGAGCAGCTCTTGCAGCCAGGAGGAAGGAGATATAACTGTATTAAAGGGCTTCAAGCCACATCTGTGCCCAGATCAGTGCATGGGGCTGAAATAGTGATAAATACAGGAGGACAGGAACATAGAGGGGCACTGTTTCTCCCCTTCCTGCCACTCTGTGAATGCCCTTTCCCTTAGTAGCATAGCAGTAACACTGTTCCCTCATCAGAACTAGTTGTAGAGCCTCATAAGCAAGGTGGGAAGCATGGCAGGCTACAAACATGTTGCATTTATCCTGGAATGAACCATTCTATCCCAGGGCAAAGTGTAGTTGTTCAGATCACTGTCCCAGGACAAACCCTAAAGGTTCATGGGAAAAGTGCTAACAGTTTATCCTGGGACTTCATGAAGTATGTCTGCACGGTTATCCTGGGATCGCATCATTGAATCTATGGCAGGAAAGCAGCAGTGAATTTAGCCTCTAAACCCAGATTTAGAAGGGCAATGGGGTAGACACAATCCTGGGATAGTTCTGTTCCACGACAAACACGGGCACAATTTATCCAGGACCAAATGCAATGTCTGTTCCTAGCATTTTCCAGCAGGGACAAGACACAAAACTAGGGTCTCTTGGGGTCTAATTACATCTCTTGCTGTTGGGACAAGCTCTTTATTCCTATTCCTCGCTTTGCCTTGTTGAAAGACACAGACAGCTTGGGTGCCATGCTGTTATCCAGCTAACGAGTTGCTGCTGGCTCCTAACGATCTGTGAGCTGTGACACGTCTCTCCCCTCCGGCTTCCATAAACCCTGGTTGCTAGAGGCATGTTTTGCACTGAACGCCTGTAGAACGCAAAGCTGTTATGTAAGGGAGGCGTAGCTGTGCTTGTCTTCATCGCGTTCCCCTGGCATCACACACCCGCTTTGTGACTGGGGAAGGCACCCGCCCCCTTCATGTGGCTCAGTGATGATCACCCCATAGCTGGCATATGGCCTATTCTGTTCTTGGTCTTGAGTTAAGTATTTTTGGTTGTCCTGTTTTGCAAGACCCCAGCTTCAGGTCACTTTTATCCCCAGCTTGCACTGGCAGCTCAGAGTATCCCCAGATAACAGATCGCTATGTCACTGGCCTTTGAGGGGCCTTTCAGCAGCTGGAGTTAGTCTTCCACATCAGGCCAGCCTGGCTCTCACAGCAGGCTGGGGTCACAGCAGTGGGCATGAAGCCCATGGAGGGGCAGGAAAGAAAAACATTTTGCCAGGTCCCTGCTATCAGTCCAAAGAAGAACATTTTGCCAGGTCCCTGCTATCAATCCTAACCTGGTTTGAACTGAGCTAATTAGTGCTGCTCAGTGCCTTATTAACTGACTACTTTCTCTTCCAAACAAGCCTCCAGAAAGCTCCCTCGCCCGTTAAGGCAAGAAACCTCCCCCAGTTCAGACAGGCAGCTGCTTGCTAAGGTTGGCCTGCCAGAGCCAGCAACAGCTGGGCTGCGCTGCAGGCTGGTCTTCAAGCTGTTTGATTGAAGGAGCGATGGGAAGGCTTCGTTCTTGTTCTGGGGCTGGGAACACGGTGTATTATGGATCTCTCAAACTGCAGGGCATGAAATGCCTTGCTCGCATGTCTTGAAGGGGGAAGCATCCTGTGCTTGGTTTTCATGTGCTAGAACATAGCTTTTTTTGTGAGCAATAGTACATGCTCTCAATGACTGGCAGCCTGTTGGAGACAGCTTCTATCAAAAGCTAAACCAGTGGCTCTTAACCGTTTTTTTTTAGATGCCAGGCACCCCCTTGGAAAATGTCAGCGCTTAGTTTGCACTTGATTTTTGACTGAAGAAAAATACCAGGGCAATTCTGTTGGAAAGAATTCAGCAAAGCCACAGCAGGGCAAAAGGGTTTTAACACTACAGATTCCTATTTGAAATCTCTGTGCTTATCTTGTGAATTATGTTTGCACGTCTAATAGTGCTAATGCACCCTTGGAAGCATCTCCAGGCACCCTGGTTGAGAGCCACTGAGCTAAACCTTGTTCAGACGTCCCTTTTGGGGAGCTCCTTGATCAAAATCACTGGCGTGAGGCCAGCCGTCTCACTGAAAAGAAGGCCCTTTTAAAGTGTTCATGCTCCACAGGTTTTATTTATGTATTTATTTATTTATTTTTGGCGTGGTTTGGCTTTTTTTGAGAACAGCCCCATCTTTTCCTGGGGGAACCACACTTGAATAGGCTTTGAGAACCCTGTGACCCCCTGGTGCTCTGGCTTTCCTCTGAACCAGCAGCTTTGGCTGGATGAGTTTAGGAGCCCTTAGTATAAAGAAACCACCTTGATTGTAAGCATTGTTCATTTTGCAATGGTGTCCATGATGCCCTGTTGCCACCCAAGACCCTGGAACATAAGAGGTCAGAGGGTCGGGCCAAAAAGAGCATCTCTGCCCCTAGGGATCTTGGAGTCTGAGTAGGAAAATCAAGGAGGAAATAATGTGGAAGAAGCCAGTTCAGGGGCTGCCAGCCCTCTTTAGATAGCTGAGGATTGACTGTAACTGGGCTGTGCAAGTGGCAAGGTTCTCCCAGGAAGGAGGGGATTAGCCAGGCTGCCTGGGGGTGACTTCATCTCATCCAGCTGGGCGCGAGCCCTTGGAGGCACAGAAGGGTGAAGGCTGTGGGAGTTGTAGTGCAGGCCCATAGTGTCACGTGGGGGGCGCAGAAAGCAGGGGAGAGGCCAAGGCCATCTTGCATCCCCTCTGCTGTTTTTCCTGCTCCCTGCCTGCTGACAGCAGCAAAACTGGACTGGGCCGTGCGGTCGGGCTGCTTACACCCGCCCTGGTGCAGGCTCTGACTTGCTGAGCTCTGCACTGCTCTGGCCTAGCACTGATCCTTGCCCCTGTGGCTTCCTGCTATCAAGGGATGGAGCAGGGGCACCTCTTCCTCTTGAGGGCAGCAGGCAGGAGAGCCAGGGCACCTGGGGTATGGGGCGCAGATAGGCATGCCAGACTTGCAAGCATCCCAGCCTGGCTCAGCCTGTCTCCAAAGCCCACAAGGCCGTTGGACAGCAGCATCCTGCTCTGCGCACAGCGAGGGGGGCTGTCCTCATCCCAGCACTTGGCAAGACGGCTGCATTGCAACGGGGCTGCACGTGTTCTTGGGAAAGAAGCTTGAATGGGTGAGATCCTCTCCCCAGCCCCTGGGTGACGACAGCCAGCAGAGCAGGAGGGTGAGTGCACTGCAGCCAGGCCCTGGGAGGTCTGGACGTCAGGGGGGTGGTTGGGGCAACCCATATCCCAAACAGCCTCCCCCAGAACTACTGCCCTGCAGTGGGAGCAGGGAGTGAACAGGATCTCCCATCTAGCTGCTTCAAATAATATTAACCTCTGGAAGCAGGTGATTTCCTGCTGGCAGGGTGCTAATGAGGGCCCCCGTTGGCAGCTGAGCTCTCTGCTGGGTGGGGACTGGATCCAAGCTCCTCTCCTGGCCCCTGGATAGCTTTGCCCTGGGCCCGTACCATATGCTGGAGGAGGGGTAGCCCTTATGAATCACGGACGCTGAATGCTTAGCAGAGCGAGGGAATAGGCCAGGGGGGAATTAGACCGGATGACCGTCTCCATGGCGACCCGGCAGGGGGGACACGCACCTTCAAGGAACACTGCACTGGGCTGCTTTTAAGGAATACTACGGCGGCCCCCAGCCAGCGTGCCCTGGCGAGGCCAGGCCAGGCCAGAGACACGCCAGGGCCCCCATGCAAGGACCACCCTGTGGGGAGGGATGTCTGGTCCCCTTAGCATTAACGTATGATCCAGACTTACGAGAGAGGAAATGTGCATGCGTGCATGTGTGTGTACAGGGATATGTTTGGGGTACTGGGCTTTTTTATTTTTAATTAAAATATATTTCTAAATATACACATAAATCCTCTATCATAAGTTTTCCATCACACATCTTAAACATGCATTAAGAAACCTGTGCTTCCATTACAATAAAAGCACCCAATCCCCTGCGCACCCTCCCTCCACCTTCACCTACCCAAATCGCAGTCCTTCAGTCCAAACCCCGATTTGGGGCTTACATTGGGTACTGGCCACAAGCCGGCAGGTTGCCACACCAGCTGGGACTGAGTGGTCCATCCTATGGCGTAAATGGTCCATCCTTTGCAGTCTCCATGGACAATGTGCTACGGACCATCTCTCCTAGTCAGAGCTGGCAACATCCCACATCTGCTCTTCCACCTCTATGGAGTGGATTTGGGGCTCTGCGACTTTACACTCACACAGGTAGATAACTAGACCTTTTCTCTCCAAAGCAAAGGCATTTAATGTCCCCCTTTGTGCTTCCCCAACCCTGGTCCCTCCAAGCTCAGCGGCTACTTTTACTTCCCCTTGGCCCAGCCCAAGTAGATGGTGCTATTGGACAGCAAGGGGGAGCCAGCATCCGCCCAGCCCAGCCCAGCCCAGCCCAGCCCATACTCCTCAAATCCTCGGTCTGACTCGGGAATCTCTTGCTCCTGAAGGCAGGAGGAAGTGGGTGGGGAGCAGCCTCAAATGGCAAAAACTGGGTTCCATTGACAGCGTGTCTCAAAAACAAAAAATAACCCTCTGCTGACGAGTGATCTGAGCAAGCATGAGATGCAAGGGAGGAATCAACGGGGAGTCCACAGAGGCTGCTTTCCTGGCTGGTGGTTCAAGGTAAGTGGTATCTGAGGTTTGGTGCTACCTCTCTAATGAGAGATTTTTAAGAATCTCTTGCCCCGTAAAACTGAAGGAGCTGATTTTTTATCTTCACCCCCTGCTGAATCTGTCTGGTCTGCTGGTCAGATCTGCGCTGAGGCACTTTTAAGGTGGATTTTAACCCAGCAGAGTGCAACAGCTCAGCCAGGCCCGTTCTCACCAGTGGTGTGCAACACCATCTTAGTGCATGTACCTTATTTACCCACCTACCACACTCACCTCCTTCCCTTAAAATTAGCAAGTGAAAATTGGGGTGCAGGCCTTAAAGGAAGAAATGGATTCTGAGCCGTTCAGTTAAAAGGAAAAATCCTTTTTCTTCTTCAGTCTGCCTCTGCAAAACAAAGTGCAGGTCTTAGCTGGGGGGATGTGTGAATACATACAGTAATGCTGACCAGGTACTAATAATACTTAGGATGTTACTTTCCAAAGCACTTTGCAAACACAAGCCACCTTTCTGTCTGGCTGCAAGACTGGGAAGTGTTACCTTCTCTGGTTTTGAGGTGGGGGAAAGATAACGGGTTTCTCTTCCTTGCAGAGGAGATACACATCCAAGCTAGCTTTAAACTAGCTGTCTGGGGTACTAGGAGGGGTTATTTGGAGGTAGGTAGCTTGCACTGAGCTCTTTACCTTCACAAACTATGAGAAATGCCCATGCTTGCTAGTTTAAAGCTAGGCTGTGGTAGACTCACAGAATAGCCATACCCTGAGACCCAGAGAAATGCAGCGACCTCTACCCCACCGCGACAAAGTTAGCACTGAGGAATCCTGGCTCTCCATCCTGTTGTCAGACCTCTCTCCCCTTTTAAAACACTGCTTTTAAAATAAAGGAACATTCACCCGAGAAGACCTAGTCTGTTGCATTTCAGGCCTTACTGAATTTTTTACAGCCCATTTATAAAAGCCCATAATAACGGGGTCTGTCATTAAAAAGCCGCTGGATTATTAACGGGATATCAATCAGATTCGTTTCCCAGCTGCTGGCTCTTGCTGTGTCCCCACCACCCCCCCCTCCTTTCCCTCCCTCCTTCGCAGCCACAAATGGATGCACATTTTGGGTTCATTTACATTTTAATAGCTAATAGCTAACAGTTCTAGCCCCACAAGTGCTGACCCACCTCTGCACTTATGACTCAGAGATTTGGATGCGTGATGGGGTCAGAGGTCCCTGAGAATTGTAGAGATCCTGATTTAAACTAGTGGAGTCTATGACAATGACTAAAGGCCGACTGGAGATGATTTGAAGGCTCTGATGTTTTTTATCTTTCATTGCTCCAGGGTGGTTCAGGACCCAGAAGCATCAGGATATGGCAGGAGAGGCTGTTTCATAGTATCCCTGCTGAATCTCAGGGCTGAGCCCAAGGTGAGACTTCTAACCTGATTTTTGCTGACAGCTGGGCAACAGGGTGCTGAGTTGAACTGAAGCTAAACTAAGATTCCCCCGGTGCTTTTAATGAGGTGGGACTGGGGACTCCTAAAATCCCAGAGGATTTTAACCGGGCCTCACTTCACTGGCTACCATTTTCCCTGTGCTGTGATAGGTGGTGCTGAGCCTGGGGACTCCTTCATTTCCACTGTTCTGTGAATAAACAGGGCACTTCGCTCCCCAGGCGCCTCTCAGTCCCGAGCCTTGGCCCTCGGGAAGGGCTTTGTGCTACACCAGCGCTCTAGAGAATGACAGCTTTCCCCATTTATTAATGGGATATTGATTGATCTCGGGGAGTATGTCACCAGCATTGGTCTCACGGCGTCCTAGTCTTGCTGGTAACCTCCCCCTGATGGATACATTAAATACTGGCTTGGTAGAGTGGGTCTGATGAACAGGCAGTGGCAGATAACGTGACCTCTCTGTGCTGCTCAGCAGATGCGTCTCTTATGAGAGATCTCAAAGCACTTTACAGAGGGCAGTGAATGAGGCTTTCCAGCCCCCAGGTAGGGTTAGGGTTATTTGACCTTGTTTTCCTGTAGGGATACAGAGCACCAGGGAGATGACGCGGCTTCAGGGCCAGAGCTGGGAAGGGAACTCAGAAGCCCCAACTGCAAACCCTGCCCTGATCATAAATGCTCCTTGACAGAGTGATTATCTAACCTGCCTTTTATAGTGCATTTACTTGGTGCCTGCTGCCCCATGTCTTCAACAAGCAGAACGCTCTTTGCTCCCCAGCTCAGCAGAGAATCGCGCTGTACCGACGTCTGACTTTTGGCAGAACTCCCGAGGGGAAATAAATAAACCTCATCTGGCATCTTGCGTGCGCTTCTCTTTCATTTGCTCAAAGTCACATCTAATCTGTCCTACCTGGTTGCCCAGTGCACTCACCTTCCTGTCACTTCCTGGCTCCCTCTGTTTTCATCTCTGGGGCACCGCTGGCTAATTCATGTGTCGTGCCGTAACCCGGTCACTGAAATGTAGGTGGCTCCCTGGATCACTCATCGGGAGGAGTTTGATTCAACTGCCCTGCCCCTTGACACACAAAAGTGATCCAATGCCAGGACAAATTGGGGCACCCATGCCACCTGCAGGACCTCCTGCACAGAGGTGCAGACTATGCTGAAATATGGGATTGGCTTGATGGTGTAATCCCACACTGGTGCGCAAATATCAGTCTCTCACTGCTGTAAAGATCTGGGCTGGTTTCAACAGGCTTGGCTGGCATGCCACATTTGGAACAGGCTATTGAGGGAGGTGGCAAAATCTCCATCCTTGGATGTTTCCAAGAACAGGTTAGATGGGGCTGATCCTGCCTTGAGCAGGGGGCTGCAGCCTCCTCGGGGCCCTGCCAGCCTGACTCTTCCATGATTTCCCCCTAGAGGGTATTTCCCTTAAAGCCCCAGCTCCCGGAGTCAAGGGATCATGCCATGCTGCAATCTTCTCTGCTTCTGCTTAAACAGCAATGGGGATCTAGCCCGTGGGGATGAAGGAAATGACACAAAGGTGGAATCAGAGCGTGTCTCAGAGATCCGGGAAACAGAGACCCCGCCCCTGAACTTGCCGCGCCGGTGTATGGGAAAGACAGCCCCCCCCACAACCGTCAGCCCAGCTGGCTGCTTCGGGGCCGGGCTCGTGATGGCAGGGCGCTTGGGCCTGGCCAGGCTGCTCTCGTTTCAGCAAGGGCAGGGGGCATCGCCCTGGTCCCTGCCTGCAGAGGAAGGGGGCGCCGTGCAGGCAGTGCCCAAGGGGAGCAGTGGGTGCTTGACATGGGCCGCGGCAGCACCCCCTGCGCCACTCCCTCCTCTTACCCCAGGCTTCCACACCCTCCTTTTGCCCCCTGCCCCCTTTTACCCCCCTGCCCTTGCCTCAGTGCCCCCAGTCTCCCCACCCCCTCCTTTTACCCCCAGCCCTTCCTCTTGCTCCAACTTCCGCTTCCGGTGGCGGCGCCTGTGACCCCGGTGGACCTTGGGGGGCGCGAGACGGGGTGAGCGTGGTCCCCCCGAGACACCTCCCCGTAAAGGGGCAGTGCCAGGAGACCCCCCCCAGGCACCCCCAGCCCTGCAGCAGCCCCGGGGCAGGCAGGCAGGGCGCAGGAGGCCCAGGTGAGGGGGGCGCAGGCAGGGGCAATAGAGGTGCATGAGCGGGAGCGGCCAGCTCATTGCAGGGCGGCTCCCCGCTGGCAAGGCCACACACATCTGGAGCCCGGGGTCCAGTTTTGGGAGGGATGTGGACACGTGGGAGAGAGTGCAGCGGAGGGCAAGGAAAGTGTCTGTGGGGACAGGACTGGTGAGGAGAGACTGAGGGACCTGGGCTGATTTAGTCGGGAGAAGAGGAGACTGAGGGGGTTGAACAGCAGCCTTCAGCTCCCTGCAGGGGTTGCAAAAAGGATGGAGCTGGGCTGGTCTCAGTGGGGGCAGATGGCAGACAAGGAGCAATGGGCTCCGGTTGCAGCAGGGGGAGTCAAGTTTGGATATTAGGAAAAAGTTTCTCCCGAGGAGGGCGGTGAAGCACTGGACCGGGTTCCCCCCGGGGGTGTTGGAGTCTCCGTCTTTGGAGGTTTTTAAAGCCTGGTTCGAACAAAGCTTTGCCTGGCATGATGTAGTTGGGGCTGGTCCTGCTTGGAGCAGGGGGTTGGACTAGATGTGACCTCCCGAGCTCCCGTCCCACCCTCATTGTCTATGAGTCTAAGTCTGTGGCTTTCCTTCCCCACCTTTCTAGGTCCCCGCTTGTGGTGCAGTGGAGACCAGTCACGATCCGGTGCCTCCTGAGCCTCGGCCTCCACAGCCGCCATGGCGAGTCACCTGAAATTCGTTGCCCGGACAGTGATGGTGCAGAACAAGGATGTGGAGGCGGCATATAGGTCACTGAACAAGTAAGAGGCAGTGGCCACCTTTGCTGGGCCCCGTTGGCAGCTGTGTTTTAACAGGGAGCCGAGGGATTCCTCCCTGAACCCCCTCTGCTGGTACTTGAGCTGCAGCTCGGATTTCATGTCATGCTCTTAAAGCAAAGAATCCCCCCTAGAGCAGTGGAGTTGGAAGGGAGCTCCAGGGGTCACATCTAGTCCTGAGGCAGGATCAGTCCTGTCCCAGCCATTCTATACAATCCATCATCTAAACTCTACATAAGGCTACTGTCAGCCCTGGCACAACACAGACCTAACCCCCTATGTATGAACCAGTCATGTTCTTGGCACTCGTGCGGGCAGGGGGGTTTTGTTAGTGTGTCGCACCATCAGTCTTGTGTTCTAGTGGTTAGCCCAGTAGATTCGGGATTGGGACACTGGATTCTTTTCTTCCTTCTATATGACGAAGGAGACGAGGGCACAGGGAAGTCAGAGGAGCCATTTTTCAAAAGCTGATGAGTCTGGGTTGTCTGTTCCCCTCTATGCGTCACCTGGAGGGGATCAAGAGAAACCTGGCTGGGCTTAGCAGGGTTCAGTCTAGTGAGGTTAGACAAAGAGACCACATTCTGGCTTGCTTTTACTATGATCTGTGATTACCCTCTGAAGAAAATTGGCTTCTGATCATGACAGGCCCTCCAAGCTCAGCAAAGAACTCCCTGTGACCCCAAAGCAATAAAACTGAGCTTCAAGCGAAACGGAGCCCAGCGAATCTGAGCTCAGAATGGATGTAGAAGCAACCACGGTCTCACAGCTTCACCCAGCATTGCCCGTCTTCCCAGTGGGTGTTGTCAGGTCACAGCAATGAGGATCTGAACCATTCATAAATTCAGACGCTAACTTTTAAATGTATCGGTCACATTTCAGGGGTGGAAAAAATAATGTTCATGTCACATTTCAAGGGTGGAAAAGGTAATGTTCATGTCTAACAGCTACGCTGTATTGCTCTGATTATAAATTGGCCTCTGAAGGACCCTACTACAATTGGCACTTGGTTTATTTGCAGTCTCTGGCTGTATCCAGGCTTCTCAGCCCGGTCTGATTTTTTTTCTTGTCCTTGTAGTATTTTTGTGCAGTAAAAAAAGCAAAAACAAGTCAGAATTATTGTTTCCAGTGCAGTTTTCGTTTTGGTGTATTTAGTGCATTTAACCTTTTGGGTCCTTTCTGCTGCAGTTTGAGTCTCCTTTGGCATTTTGTAGGGGCAGCAGCAATTCAAGGTTTGTTTTTTTTTATCTGTAGTTACGGATTTTTATTCAGGGGAAAAGCTGTTTTACCTAATACTGTATTTGTTTGCATACTGCACGTGTCCTTTTCCCAAGAAGCTGCTCTCCAAAAGCAGAGTGGGTGTCTTAAGAAGGGAAGCTGGTTTCTGTGTCAGAATAGAAGCATGGAGACACTGTAATGGTTGCTGGAGCTCTGCTTCTTTCTCTGGTGTCACAGTTAATTTTAACTAAGCTGCCAGAAGCTGCTGCTAATTCAGTAGCGGGTGCAAAAAGATTAAAAATGTAGCTGTGGCTGAGCAGTGATGTTCAGGATTCAGCCCTGACTCTGGAAGCACCTTTTTTTCCCTTAATTCAGCCTTAAGATGCATGTCTGATTTGGGGGTGGGGTGTGATTTGTGAGGAAATACAGTATTGTACAATGTGCAACGTCTCCTCATAATCAAGACAGTACTGGAGGTCTGCAATAGGATGACTCCCTTTGGCAATCAGTTGAGGGGAACATTAGAAACATAGTTTCATAGTCATTAGGGGTTGGAAGGGAACTTACAGATCATCGGGTCCAGCCCCTTAGGCAGTTAAGACTGCTGGAATCGAATACCCCAGCAAGGTGGGTGTCAAGATGTTTTTTGAAGATTGCAAGGGTGGGTGACTACACCACCTCTGGAGGGAGCCTGTTCCAAACCCTCGGCACCCGACTTGTAAAGAAGTTTTTCCTTATGTCTAGACTGAAGCGATCTTCAATCAGTTTGTGCCCATTATTTCTTGTCCTCCCCTGGGGGACCTTGGTGAATAGTTGCTCCCCCAGGCACTGATGTTCTCCCCTGATATACCTATAGGCTGCCACCAAGTCCCCTCTGAGTCTTCTCTTCTCCAGGCTGAACAGCCCCAAGTCTTTCAGCCTCTACTTGTATGACCTGGTCTCTAGGCCTCTAATTATGCACATGGCTCTCCTTTGGACTCTCAGCGTTCTCCACTTCCTTCCTGGAGTGCGGCGCCCAGACCTGGATGCAGTACACCAGCTGTGGTCTCACCAAGGCTGAGTAGAGCAGGAGGATGACATCCTTTGCCCTGCTCAAGATGCCTCAGTAGATGCATGCCAGTGTTTGATTAGCTCTGCTAGCTACAGCATCGCATTGGTGGCTTGTGTTCATTTTGTTGTCTATCATAACATCCAGGTCTCATTCAGTTGTGGTGCCGGCAAGCGTAGCACTGCCAAGTCTGTAAGTGTGCTGGGGATTATTTCTCCATAGATGGAGCACTTTACATTTCTCTGTATTGAATGTCATCACGTTGATCTCCACCCACCTCATAAGCCTGTCCAGGGTGGCCTGTATTGCAGGTCATTAAAAGGAAGAGGCAAGGGGAGTTGCTTAGAGCAGTACAAGTTGTTCTCACTGGAAAGGAAGGGGTGGGAATGACTGGACGAACTCCAGCTGAATAGCAGGAAGTGTTTCCTAATGCTGAGATCTTGGCTTGCAGGTTCAGGTACTGTCGTCACTTGAAATTAATGAGGTCAGTGCGCTGGAAAGTAAGCTGTAGGGAATAACCCTGCTCTGGTATGGGGTGGACTTTGAGCCTTCAAGAGTTCCCCCTGTGTCAATAAGAGAAGGTTGATTGGAAGAGAGAGGTGGAATCTGCCTCTCTGTCTCTGTGCCTCAACTTCCCCATCTGTGAAATGAGCATAACGTCCCCATTTGGTAGGGAGGTTTGGCAACATCCTGAAGCACTTGGGAGATCTTCAGATGGAAGGCATTTGGAAAAGAAAATGTTGTCTGTTTCTGAAAGAGCACAAGGAGTGGGGGAGGTTACAGCTGCGCAATGGGGAACGGTGACTCAGCTACTTCCAGCTCTGAAGGAAAGAGCTAGCGTGGATGTTAGAGCACATAGCTGTGTCATAGCTTTGAGCTTTATACATGCATATGCATATTATATACGATGCACGCACCGAGTGCAAGGCCAGGCACTGTTACCAATTGCTAGTGAAGTTGTGGAATCTCCATTATTTTCGTTTTTTGAGTGTGGGTTGGACAGACCTGTATCTGGGCTGGTTCAGACAAGGCTGATCCTGTCTTGAGCTGAGCGCTGGACTAAATGTGACCTCTGGAGGACCCTGCCAGCACTGGTTTCTTTGGTTAACTTGTAATATCTGCTTGAAAAAAAAATGTCAGTGTGAGGACAGGATATTTCTTTGCTTTTATTCCTCAGTTCCTCATACTTCAGAGCAGAAAGCTTCAATGTATGATCTTTTATAGTCATTGGGCAGCGTCTGCTCCTTGTACCATGGCATTTGCTGTCTTGCCATTCAGAACAGCATGGGGGCATCTGTCTAACTACATGGGCTCATGTTGGTTCTTTCCCTTGTTCTTCTCTGGCCATGGCATGACCCTGTCTGGTTAATTTGAGCTTGTTGGGCAGAACACTCAAGAATGGACCTGTATTCTCCAGCTGTAAGGACTGAGGTCTAGTTTGAGAGCCTGCTTATCTCCAGTATCATGTCTCTTGGCATGTAGGTTCCTAGGGATTTTTCTCTGTGCTTGAACACTCTCCTATATGCTAGAGTGCAATGAATAAGAAGCCTGAACGTAGGAGCCAAAGCTCTATGCTCTAGCCTGGCTTTGACAAAGCCTCCCTCAGACCCACTTCCCTCGGTCAGCTGGCAAGGTCAGCAAAGGCAACGTGATGCCTCTTCGGGATCCGGCTAAGGATTTCAAGTGACTGCACCAGCCCTGAGCCTCCTGGTCCTTTCCCTTCCCCATGAGGTGGATGGTTACAGAAAGCAAATATAGGCCAGCAGAGGTGAAGCATCTTGCCCAGGGTTGCAGGCAGGGGCAGAACAGATGCAGGTTGCAGGGATCTACCCCCCTGCTTTCAGGCCTTCCGCTGAGTCCAGGCTTGTAAAGGAAAGGCTCCCTTGGTGCGGGCAATGGCAATATGGACTGTGCACTTGGCAGTTTCTCAGCCAGTGGGTCGTGACCCAAAAGTGATTCACAAAAATACATGAAAGGGTCATGAACAAACTTTAAAAGTGAATTCTCCTTTAAGGAGAAAAACATGGGAAACGGTGGCTTTTCCCTTGCAGGCTGGCAGGGTTCCAGTCTGCAAGGGGCTTCTTGGGGCTTCCTGTGGCCCCCCACACACACCTCCTGCCCCACACACTGGGGTCCAGGGGGCAGCAGGTCGAGAGTGAGGGGCACTGGGTTGGGACTGACCATTGATGTTTCCAAATGGATCCTGGTCCCAAAAAGGTTGAGAACTACTGTGCTTGAGGACTAGGGAGCCAAGGCCCTTGGTAACATACCCATCATACCTCTAGTTACTTTCAGAGCACAAAGGGTTGGCTAAGCTGCCAGATCTACATCTCAGCAGCCTGGCTCTGGGGTTTTACTTACTTTACACTTACTTACTTACTTACTTACACCTACACTTACTTACTTTACACATTTGCATTTTTTTCCATGCAATTTGCCACCTGTGGCAACAGGTAGCTGTGGTTTCACACATTTAATGCAGAGGCACAGACTCAGCGAAGTCCTGTGAGTGTACTGACCTCTGCTGGCTTCAATCCGAAGCATCTGACAAGGCAGAATTTTGACTTTCTGTCTCAGTGACGGTGTCCGCAGTGCTGGCAGCAGGCCTCTGCTTCCATTAAGGCCTTTGATCTCCTGGAAGGCGTATGCACGTGGGAGTGACTGCCTATATCATGACCCCTTCCTCCTGGAAGTTTGTATTGGTGTGGGTTGAGGGGTGAGT